ATAAAATTTTAATCATTTTTTTATTTAATTATAAGATAAAATATAAAATTAAAAAAATTCTAAAAAATTATGACTCATACTGTATATCTATACTTAATATAGGTTCATATATTATATTGTGAACAAAAAAAAATAAATATAAAGATTTTTTATTTTTTATTTTAATTTCTATTATATATAGCAGAAAATTTTTTAATTGATTGAAAGTATAATTAATATTAATGATATACTTGTTTTTATTATTTTTACTATAATAAATTTTTTTATTGAATAATATTTAATTTAGAATTGTTTTGAAAAATTTTATATTTTAATAAAATATTTTTAATTGATAAGAAAAAAAAAATAAGATTATTGTAAAATTCTAAAAAAAGTTTTTAAATATTAATTTTTAACTATAAAATTATATTATAATTTAACTTTTTATATAATAATATTGAAATACTGTATATCTTTAAAAAACCAAATAAATTCTGATCATGTGATGTATATGGAAATAGTCGAACCTCCTTATTAATAAATCCAATGCATTTAATTAATAAAAAAATACATGCTTTTGATTCTGGAAAGTTAAATTCTTGCAATGAAAATAAATATTGAATTTATAATGAGAAGTTAACAATCACATTTAGGGGCGTAAAAAATATGTACAGAAAACCTAATGAAATTTAAAACTCCGTCAAAATTGAATTAGGAAACAAAATTTGAAAGTAAATTGGACAAGCTATAGAGCTAATCAAGGATTGCATTCGATTAATCATAACGCAATACTTAATAAGGGAAAGGAATACTCATGTACAAAGAACTTGAAATAATATCAATACGAATAAATAACAAAATATTAAATAATATTTTATAATCCAGTTGGTGCCGTGTAAAGACTTTTCTATGATTTTGATTCAGAAGGTTGTTGAGAAGCCTTGCTGGAATCCACATCTTGACCGGGAATAGTTTCTCCTTTCGTAGCATCAATGATTCCCTCTTCAATTGTTAAGACTTCAGCTTTCCCACAGATTTCCAGAATGCGCTCTGCCTCCTCAACGGTATAGCCACCTAAAACTTTATTGATCTTTGTTAATTCGCCAGTTTTCAATGCCTCACGGAATTTTTCGGGTAGTGTCAAAAATATTTCATGTTTTTCTCTTTCCTTTTCATCTTCGGAATGTTCGTTGGGGATGCGAACATTAAGAGAAGAATTAGGATCAGTGACTTCTATCTGAATTTGTTCAGCCTGAGACTGTTGGGGGTTTTGTGTTTTTTCAGCATTCATGACCTTGCAACGTTCACGAATACGTTCATATGTCTCGTTGACATCTTTTAAGAAAATGTCGCGCGCTTGTGGATCGGTAGAAGTTATTCTAAATATAGATAAATTGTTCTTAAATAAAATTATAATCGATATTAGTATATCCAATTCGAATCTTTATTACCTTTTGAAAAATAGAGTGACGCCGTCTTTTCCTAGTTTTTGACAATATTGCAACAACCATCCTTGATGAACGCACTGTTTTGCATATTTTGCTTTTCCTTTCAATTGAGCTCTAAATGCTTCGGCTAATATTTGATCCACTACCTCGGGACTGATGATTTCGGGGTGCTTTGTTATAAATGAAAAACTGTCGCTATAATTTTTGATAATTGCAAACTCCTTTGCGACATTAGAAATGTGCAAAGCTTCGTCATCATCATCATCTGTGTCTTCTGAGGCTTTCTATTAAAATATCGATAAACAATAAAACATTAATAAATTGGTATAATCAATATTAAAAAGTCTTAAATAATTGATGAAATAATATCTCACATCAGGTTCATCGAGAGGCTTAGGCTGTACATCAGGATTTAACACTTCGATAGACTTCTCCGTATTCTTTTTCGATTTTTTTGGCTTCTCAATAGTCGGTTTGTTGTTCACTTTATTGACAACCTTAATATTCGAAATGAAAGAATGGATTTAAACTTCTAATAAAAGGAATATCGTGCCTTAAACAAATTTAATGTCATACAGCTTTATCAAATCCGGTATGCAAATCGTCAACTATAATCTTCTTTTTAGCTTCCATTTCTTCTTTTTCCAATTCTACTTTTGCATCTTTTTGACTTTTACTCAATTTTTCACGATGTTCCTTCAATTTTTCAATTAATCGTGTACCGACTTCTTCCGGACTTTCGTCATTAACTTCCTGTCGAATTTTTTCAAATAAAATACCCATCATTTGGTCAAAAGATGGTTGTGCAGGCTCGACGTGTTCACTTTGAGGCATCGATGTCGTTTCATTTTCACTTTGAGGAGTCGAAGTCGTTTTATTTTTACTTTCTATTGCTTTATTGGTTTCGCGTAATTCCTCTATAGTTTTGAAAAAATATTCAACGCCTTCATTCTGCAACCTTTGGATCATACTATCAATTTTCTCGAGCAAAACGTCGTCCTGAGAAATCTTTTGTTTAAGCGCACTAATTTTTTGTCTTCTTTCTTCGCGTTTAGCGTGAATATCGGCTTGCTTCCATCTTATAAACGAAGCTTTGTCGACGTTTGGGTGACATTCGAAATCATCGTCGTCGCTTAGTTCGAGCTTATCCCACTTACTATAGTCAATAGGCATGATTTTTTTTTTGATACAACCAACAAATTGTATTGTAAAATCTTGTACTTTATATACTGTATGTAGGGAATGGAAATTTAATTCCGAATTGATGTTTTGGTGCGTGCTGGAAACATCCAGAAAAAAGACCTAAAATACTTTGTTTATTTAGCGATCTGCGAATTTGATTCCCGAAATGTACTTTACATTAGACTTGTGGTCAGTGGGATATTAAAATAACATCTTCATATAACCATATACGAGCACTCTCTAACTGTCATTAGAATAAATAAGCAATGTATAAACAATTTATTAATTATGCTAGTATTATATTATACATGTGGTAGAAATTGATAGATTCTTGATGCAATTTGATATAATTATTTGATACAATTAATTAAGTCACTATTAAAACATATAAAATAATTAAGTCAGATACAATTATTTTTAAGAATTTTGACAATTGAGTTAATTTATATTACATATATATATTATATACTTGTTAAATATTGGAAAAATTAAATACTAAAAAGATATTAAAATTATTGTACAAGTTTATTAAACCTATTAATCTTATTTACAATTAATTAAGATTTCTGAAAAAAATTAAAAAAAAAGAAAAGTTTACTTATTCAAGAAAAGAAATTTAAATTTAAATTGTTTTTTAAAGTTATTATATATATTTTAACAATATAATTTTGAAAAATTTAAAGATATTAATGAATTGGTTATGGTTAAATTTATAGTTAATAGTAATATTAACATGTATAAGATTATAAGTGTATGGTTCGAACCATACATGTGGTTGTATTACCATAAAAGGAAATTTGATTGACAATACGATTCTGAATTAAATATGAATTCCAATTATTTACTATATGTTATTTAGTAATTCTACCATAATACAGTTTTTGAAAAATGGTTAAATTCAATTTTACCACGTGTATAGTATGAATATAGTATTCAATAAAAACCATGGCATTAAGTACCTGTTCACCTTAAAAAAAAAAAAAAATTTAAAGATATTAAAATTAAATTAAATATAATTAATATAAAAAAGTTAATTAATAGTTAATATCTTTAACCTATTTTTTATTATCTATAATTAATTAAATTAATTAATTTTTTTTAAAATTTTTATTAATAAAAAATATTTAAAAACACTTTTAAAAAAATATTTTTTGAAATTTTATATTTAAAGATTTTTAATCAAAAAAAATATTATTTTTTATTGATAATTTTCTTTTAAGTCATAATTTTTTAAAATTATTTATTTTTATTTAACTAATAGTTAATTTCAAAACTTCTTTTTTTAACTATTTTTAAAATAATAAAATAGATTTTTTTAAATTCTTATTAGATTAAAATAAGAAATTTTTTTTTACCTTTTATTTGAAATATTAATCTAGTTTTTAATATATTTTTCAAGTATTTTATATATAATATTAATATAAAATATCAAATTATATTAAAAAAAACAATATTTTTAAACTATAATTTTAACTCTAAACTATTTAATTTTAATTAATTAATCAATTATATTATTGGTTTTAATATTATATAAAAGAAAAATATATAAAAAAGATATATTTTATTTATATTTTTGTTATAAAAGATAATCAATTAAAAGATTTTAATTGATTATTATCTAAAAATTCCAGTATAATAAAAAATTTTATAAAAAAACTATATATTAAAAAAAAAGTTTTTATAAAATAAATAATAATATTGAGAAAAAAAAATTTTTTTTCCAAAAATTATGAATTTTTTAAAAATTTTTTTTTATTAATAATATACAAAAAATATCCAAAAAAACATCAAAAAAAATACTTTAGGAAAATCTTTACTAAGAAGAAATACTTTATTATTTCTTTTTAAAATCAAAGGAAAATATATAATATAGGTATATATTAAACTTAAAAGAATATCAACTTTTTTTTTTTATTTCTATATAAACAGATATATACTTTTTTTTTTTATTGAAAAAGAAAAAAAAATAAAAAATATAATTTATAGTTAAAATAAAAAAAAATCAATATTACACTTTATAAGCTACTAGCCAATTATATATCAGATTAAATATCTTTCTAAACATTAGTAAAATTTGATATTAGTCAGATTATATTCAGTAAATCAGATAATTTTATTATTAATATTAAGCTAGAAGAGTATTAATTGATATTATATAAGTAAATGGGAATTGATGATCAGCAATCATTAATAAAAATTGTCGATAATAACAATTAGTAAAAAGCTATTTGCTTTAAATCATCATTCCTACTCTGATTATAACTAGTCATATATTAAAAGTATAGCTTTTAGCTTTAGGAAACATTGTCTAAAACCTTTATTATGGTTCTTTTTTTGCAAATTGATGGTATTTTTCTAAAAAAAAACAACAAAATGACGTTATTCCTTATTGCGTTAATTGTCAGCTTCGAGTATATCTCAATAGTCAAGAATTTATAATAAGAATAACTAGAGGTAATTCATATGGTTTTAAATCAGAATTTGTATGCAAGTTAGATTTTGAAAGTAAAGTTTATAGTTCTTCATTGTCAGCAGTTAGCAAAACATATTAAAAACTTTTTCAAAAAAAACTGTATTATTCTGAACAATTATGCTTAGGGTTTGATGTTGATAAAATCATTTTAGAGTTATTATTAGACTTTTTATTTGTTTCTTTTTATATTGAATATAATAACATTTGTATTTTAATTATAAATATAGGAGTTTTTGATAATTCAGATATAAATTTTGCAGGATCAGGATATATATCAAGTTTTTTATACAAGATTGGAAGCAAACAAAAACTTATAGTTCAAAGTATTGATAGCAATAATTATAATATTCAAATATATCAACAAAAACAACAATTATTTTCATGAAATGCTGATATTCTATTAGAAATCTGGAAACAAATGCTATTTTTTCAAAATTACAATAGTTTATCATTGTTTGGTCTTGATAATCTGATAATAAAATATGAATTGGAAAGAATTCATAAGGTCTTTTTATGATATCAAGTTACTGAATGGAATGATCTAGAAATTATGAAAAAAATTTTTTATAAACATTTGTATCAGAATATTACTACTATGAATTTGTTGTGGTATCAATTTTTTGTCAATTGGAAAATACAAAAAAGTAATATTATTGAATTTACTAATGTCTTGAAGAAAATATATCTTTCTAATTTCACTATAGATGATTGGATCTTGTGAAATTGGCAAGCAATGCTACAAGCAATTAGATATACAAATATTACACCATTTTCAAAACAAGAATCAAAGGTTAATAATTATTTATTTTATTATTATTTAAAACATGATTGTTCAATTGTTAAATTAACAATTACCTTCAATAGCTTGAATTTTGATCGTTGACTATAAATCCTTTATCTAATAAGGAAACTATAAAAAATTTGTATAAAGCAGGATTATTAAATTTTGAACTAATTATTTAATCACAAAAGAATGAAAAATCAGAAACTAGTACTGAGTTAAAGTTTTGACAAAGCTTTGAACAAGCCTTGAATCAAAATAAATAGAATTTAAATAATATATAATGAATAGTATCAATAATTGCAAAAGAATTTGATCCAAAAGAATTACACAATAAATTGAAAGTAAGATTATTTTATTAGTATTTTTTTTTAGATAAATTATTTATTTATTACCTTGTTTAATTAGATATCCCATAATCTTTATTATGCTGGGAAACACTACATACATATTAATGAACCAGGATATTCCATTATTGAAAAACCTGTAATCAAAAGATCACGTGTTTCAAAATTCAAGACATGCAATTCTTGATCTTTTTTGATGATAAGAATAATGCTAGTATGAGTTCATACGCAATCAACAAAAAAACAGGATTACCTTTATTATATCTAAAAGATAACAAAGAAATATTATGAAATAAGTTCAAAGAAAAATATCCTAGTGAAATTAAATGAATCTCATTTATGATATGATTAGTCAATGGTTAATATATTTACTGGAAAGATCTTGAAGAGCTGTGCAGTATCTATAATGATTATGGGTATATAATTTTTGATGATTTGATACTGTTAATATAGATGAATGTCGAAGAAAAATAGCTTTAAGTAAGTAATATCCATATTGATTAAATAAATAATATTGATATATCTAACAAAATTTTTTAGAATGATTATATTAGTCAAATAGAAACATTATGCCATCATTTACATAAAGAATTTGAAAAAAAACTTATGATAAATAATCATAGTACTACATATCACGTAGAATACATTAAGTTCTATGAAATAACAACTCTTTCCCACACGAAATAAATTACCTTTTTAGGAAATACTTGAAAAGCGACAAGAAAGTGAAAAGAAAAATGGGAGTCAGTCAAGCAACAACTTCAAGTG